TTAAATCATACTCTACTGCTGAGATTAATCATCATCATCATCATCATCTTCATCATCTTCGTCTTCATCATCATAATCATCAGCAGCAGCAGCAACAGCATCATCATCATCATCATCATCATCATCATCATCATCATCATCATCATCATCATCATCTCCATCGTCCCCCCTATCATCGTGTTCTCACAGGCTCGTCAAAGGACTCAGCGATGGCCTTGAACATGGCGTCCACTTGAGCAGGGTCGGAGGTGTCGGCCTTGACTGCCATGGCCTTCACGCCCATTCCCTCGAGCTCCTTCACCACGCCCTCTGCTGCCTGCTGCGATCCGGCGTAGTTGACAATGACGTTGGATCCTCTGGGAGGAACGTGGGTAAGCAGACTACAACAGTCGGGGAGACAGGAGGAGTGGGAGGAGGAGGAGAGGAGGAGCGAGATTCGCAAGGTCGTCAAGGGAAGAATATCACAAGCACATGATGAGGAGGGAGAGAGAGAAGTCTTCGCTCTCCTCTGTCCCTCACCTTTTGCCGAGTTCAAGCGCAATGGACTTGCCGATCCCGCGGCTTCACGGAGGAAACGTCAGCCATGGGCACAACGTCTCTATGACTAAGTGATTCGATCCATCACTCCTTCATTCTTGACCTCCACAATGAGAGCTTCTCTTGCTCATGCTTGTCTTTGGCACAGACTATATCTCCCTTCCGTAGTCTCATCGTCCTGTCACCGCAAAAACTTGCGGATTCGCTTCAAACTGCATCAATACCTATCCTACCACCATACACGAGAATCTGAAGTATTCATCTTAATAGTTTTATCATCATCTCACATCCTCTTCTCTTAGAACGCACATTGAACCTCCAAAACAGCGAATCTCACCTGGCTCCAGTGACAAGGGCAAGAGCCATGGTGGGCCCACGCGCCTCAGCAGATCGTGCTGTCTCAGCAGATCTGAGCTGCAATGATCGTCCTCTCATCATGCTTCCCAGAGGAGTTGGTCCTGCCATGAAGGCGCTAGCGTTCGCCGCCATCGCCGCCGCCATCGCAATCGCAATCGTTGCCCGCATTATGCTCTTTCTCGCGGCCTCTGCCCCACCCCCTACCCCATAAACTCATTTGCTACCTTGATTTTTCACAGACTACCCTGTTTTTCTCTAATCAAAATACCCACCCTCACTAGAGACAGTTGTACCCCCACCCCATCATATTAGGTACCCACCAGACCATTTTACCCACCCATTGCTTGCGGATCGTTTAGAACATTTGCGCCCCCCTCTTGCTACAGGGGGTCAGGGGGTAGGGGTAGTTCACCCCAAGGGTAGTCGAAATTATGGGTAGGGCTCCCCAAAGGATAAACAGAACCCCAGCGATATAGGTACAAAAAGGGGGTAATAGATCGATTGGGTGGGGTGGCTAGTATCAGCCGTGGTTTACACATACAAATCCTGGTGGACGGGTGAGGTTGACTGTATCACGTACCCCCTTCAAAGGTACCCCTCTCTGGGACCTTGGTAGGACCCCATAGTATACTCTGTCATGGAATTTACTGCGGCGGGCCCGGAAAACCTCAGTAACTAATTTTTAACTTAACTTTGCCAGAAGACCGCAGGCTTCAGGGTCCGGGAGGCTCACTGCCGGCTGTGGAGACGAGAACTCTTGGCATCGATCACTTCTCTAAGCAATCTGATCTCATTGCCCAACTAACAAAAACAAAGTCTCAGACAAGGAACCGGACGGCCACACGGGCAAGCGGAAGTTGTAAATGTCGGATCGCCATAAATGACACTTAGGTTACCGTAGTAATCTCGTTCGACTTCGAGTTGATGGCTGCCTTGAATTCATACCTCAAATCTGTCAACGCAGAGTTAAACAACCAATCTGCCTGATGAAGGAAAGTGTTGGGCGTTAAGACCGTAGGCCGGTACGTACCTTCATTCTTGGCTTGCTCGAGCTTCTTCGACAGATCAGTGATCTCGGACATCGCCTCTGCTATCTCCTTCTCCTTCGCTTGGATCTGCCGGACCTCCTGCACCTCAAAGCTCCTCCTGCACATGCCCCCTCCCGTCATCCTACCGAGCGGCACTGCATGCAAGCACACAACAGTCTCACATTGTGGGCTTGAGCTTGACTTGCTCTGACAGGACGGTGGCGTTGCGGTTGATGAGAGTCTGTCTGAGGAAGGCCACTCGCTCTCGCTGCTCGGATATCTTGGAGGCCGTCGGAGTGAGCAGGGCAGCCCGACATGACGCATGCTCATGCCGTACCTGAGCCTTGTACTCGTCGACCTTGCGCCTGGAGCAGTTGGAGTCCGAGAGCTTGTGGAGGTGCGCGGCCATCTGCTGGAGAGTCTCGCTGTTGCGCCTGTGATGGTCCCGCACCCTGACAGCGCATCGGGCATGAGAGGAGCGAGAGGAGGGAGGAGAGATGAGCGTACTCTTCGGTTTTCCAGGGGTCTGCTGGGGGAGGAGCGATTGATTGACTGACGGAGCTTGATCTTGCGGATCTGTGCTGATTGGGAGGGAGCTGGAGGACGGGCTGAGAGCCGCGACGAGGGCGAGGAGCATCAGACTTGTTGGGGGCACTGGCGTCGGAGCTGTCAGCGGTTGCGGGAGGTTTCATGGGCAGGATCTTGACATTTGGATCATTGAGTAGGGGCTTGTTGTTCCTGATAGCTCTCGATCGCTTTGGTTCACATATGCCGCATCCTGCCAGCAGCTGATCGATCATCTTGCTTTCCTGCTGCAAATCGTCACTCAGGTGTCAAGTTGTGTCAGAAAGCTTGTAGTAGGTAGATGGTCATCATCAGGTTCGTGTATCGTTATCTATTTCCATATTTTTGTTGAAGCCAAAGCAATGTTTTCACTCAAACTTAATGTTGCTATGATTCAAAGTTTCAAACTCAACTTCTTGTCACTTTGAATCATGTCATGTCAGTCTGGTTCATCCGCTGAACGTCACGGCAAAATCTACGAGTTTGTTCTAGGGCTCTAACCTTCCTATTAGAGCTTTCCCTTCATTCATCTCTCGGTCTCGTTTTTCAATCTGTGCTCTCCTCTCAGAGCACTTCTGCAGAACGACTCCTGCCTCCATGGCGGCAGCGGACCCTTGTAGCCATGGATAGCGCACGTTAGTTCTAGTCCGGGCCTTGCGAGTTGGTGCCGGTCTTGTAAGGGTAGGGGTACCACCAATGTTTCCTGCACCGGTACATAGATGCCGTGAGCTGTGGGTGCCACTTAGCCTGTCGGTGTGGGTGGGGTAGGGTGGAGGTGCGGAATCGGTACCGTCCGGTAGGTGGAGTCAAACTAGTAAAAAAGAGACTTTGAAAAATCGAGCGTTACATGGGAGATTAGGTGAAAATCAGCCCTAACGAATCTTATCGCGGTGATTCCCTACCAGGTGCTCCGAGTACCCCTACCCCCCCATATGAAATCAAGTAAACTTTTGTTAGTTCAGCCCTACCCCACCACCATAGCAAAGCACCACCATCCTGAAATTCACCCCAACTTGTGATATAAAGTGTACCGGTCATGGCAGAACCCACCCCCCTCTTTCAAAGTTACCAAACGAGAAAGTTACCTTTTTGGCGACCCACCCCTACTTTGGCTCCACCCTCACCGGCACTGCCGTCTCAGAAGATGCTTGACAGATGCGAATGAAACATACGATGGCTCGGGGGAGGAAGGAGACCAGAGGAAGAGAAGAGGCGAATGGGAGCGAGTTCGAACCCTTCATAGAGGCACAGGGTCTTGAGCAGAAGAAGAAAATTCGATCAACGAAGCAGGAATGACGAGAGCAGGCTCAACAGAGCAGAACAAACCTGTATTGCCACGAATGTTCCCAGAGCCATTCGAGAACAGCAATGAATGAAATTTCTGGCGCTTTACTGAATGTTTGTTGCAGGAAAGCAACATGATCGATCAGCTCTTGGACATATGCAGATCTTATCGAAGGGAACGCATAAGTCAGCCCAACGAACAGGAATACTCGATCATTTCGAAACTTCCTCGCTCCACCTCCGACAGCTCCGACGCCAGTGCCCCCAACAAGTCTGATGCTCCTCGCCCTCGTCGCGGCTCTCAGCCCGTCCTCCAGCTCCCTCCCGATCAGCACAGATCCGCAAGATCAAGCTCCGTCAGTCAATCAATCGCTCCTCCCCCAGCAGACCCCTGGAAAACCGAAGAGTACGCTCACCTCTCCTCCCTCCTCTCGCTCCTCTCATGCCCGACGCGCTGTCAGGGTGCGGGACCATCACAGGCGCAACAGCGAGACTCTCCAGCAGATGGCCGCGCACCTCCACAAGCTCTCGGACTCCAACTGCTCCAGGCGCAAGGTCGACGAGTACAAGGCTCAGGTACGGCATGAGCATGCGTCATGTCGGGCTGCCCTGCTCACTCCGACGGCCTCCAAGATATCCGAGCAGCGAGAGCGAGTGGCCTTCCTCAGACAGACTCTCATCAACCGCAACGCCACCGTCCTGTCAGAGCAAGTCAAGCTCAAGCCCACAGTGTGAGACTGTTGTGTGCTTGCATGCAGTGCCGCTCGGTAGGATGACGGGAGGGGGCATGTGCAGGAGGAGCTTTGAGGTGCAGGAGGTCCGGCAGATCCAAGCGAAGGAGAAGGAGATAGCGGAGGCGATGTCCGAGATCACTGATCTGTCGAAGAAGCTCGAGCAAGCCAAGAGTAGAGGTGGTTGACTACGTTCTTCACCCCGCCCCTTATGCTACTCGTTCTGTTGTCTGCCTGCCTGCCTGCCTGCCTGCCTGCCTGCCTGCTCTCCCGTTTCTGATAACTCTGAGTCAAACATGTCATGTGCTCGGCATCGTGAACTCGGAACAGATATCAAAGAAAGGCTTAAAACTGAAGTGTACATCAGGACCGATGATATCATGAAGGTAACTTGAATTTGCATACAAGTTGCCCTGTAACTCACTGTTCTATGCTAATTTTCCATTCTTCGTTCGTAGCTGCAAGGTGAGATTCAATTTCTGAAAGAAGTAATCAAGGTAAAGGCTAGACGTCATAAACTAAAACCCCAGCTCAAAATGTAGCTGGTACGCGAGTCAGCGCAACTTCGGAACTGAGTACAAACTCACCGTCACTGTCGCTGATATCCGGCAGAGGTCGAAACTTGACAGATCGGAAACTTGAAGTCACTAGTAAACGGTGAATTGCTTGCCAGTGCCTTGACATGATGAACCTTTCAACCGTCGCAATTGCTCTTTGTAACGGTCGTTTGACCGTTGAGGCCAAAAATGCGGACCCTGCGAGACTATTCCAACCCTACCTACCCCACAAACCACCCTACTCAATATAGCAGTACCGGTGATTTCAATTATCAAGATAACCCCTACGACCCCATCTTTGGTACCCCCACACCCATCGTTTTCTGAGGCAACGACTCGTACGAAAGGGTTGGGTTGTGAATTGGGTCCTTTCAGCATGTGGTGGGGTCCAGTATCAATGACAGGGTGGGGTGGTCACATTCACCCTGGTCCATGACTGGTTATGCAGGGGTATGCATGACAAGTGCTGTGGCAATGGGGGGTACACAAGAATCAAAATTGGGGGTCATACGCTAGGCAGTTCGACATTTTAGGGGGTGGGGGTGGGATGACTGGGATTTCAACGCACGAAATCCATGCTGGCAGTGCGGGGCCAGCAACGAGGGAGCGGAGGAGGAGAGGGAGCAGGAGGAGTGAACTCCGAGCGAAGGACATGAAGGAAACTTTTGGATTACAACAGCTAGACAAGGTGCTGAGGCCATGAGCATCAAGATGTTCGTGGCATGCAGGTAACAGAACCATGGAAACTGACGACGAAGCTGGAGGCTCGTTAGACGCCGGGCCATCATGCAGGCCTGAGCGTCTCAAGGATGTTGATAGCTGCGGAATCGAAAGCAGGGCGAGGTTCGGCTGCGTTCATAGATGGATCGTGGTGGCAGCTGGTGTATCGGTACTTGTTTGCGGATTTTTCGCGTGCGCCGCAAGCATGAAGGCGTCTAGTTCGTTGAGAAGAATGTCGCGCATTCATCTGTGCAAACGAGTCCGGGACGTCAGCATGAAGTGTTCCAGCCATTCTCTTCCGTCTGCTGATGTGACATCAGCCTTGGTCCACCAATATCCGAGCACTGTAGGGGGTGTGGGTTTCGAAGAATGTGTGCAGGCACTCGACCATGACGTGAACAGGAAACGATCTTCTCCTCCTCTTGATCGCTTGTTCTCGATGATTCTCACCACCAGCCTCTCTCTTCATCTCGCCATCTCCCTCCCTCTTCTTGCCGTCGGCTCTGGCTGGTTGCTACCAAGGTATGCTCTGAGCTCCCACAAGTTCCGCACGGTTGACCCGCCAACCGTTCTCTGGTACTGCTCTATCATATCCAGCGGGATCTCGGGACTAGTTTGTCTCCTCCTCGGCCTTTCGTTGTGCTCCGTTGCATTCACGATTCAGACGATGCTGCGAGGAGGAGGGAGGATGAGTAGCTGGCAGGACTGGATGTCACCGGCACTGGGACAGCTGCAGCTGAGCACTTTTTGGAGCTGTTCAGGAAGAGATCAGTCATGTGTGGATGAAGCAGCATGCAAGTTTCTTGTTGACTGTGCGGCCGATGGAGCGCAGAGTCTGCTAGGGGTTGGCGTTCCTCTGGTGATGACCGGAGTGGTGGCGTTCCTGGCGACCTGTTTCATGGCTCTGACCCGACGCTCGCTCGCAGGAAAGGCATCCTTTGACCAGGGCGCTCAGAGCTGTTTGCGGTGACGAGTAGCAAGTGGGTTGGGATAGAAGGGCCCGTACAACGTCGATGTGCATAGAGGAAGGCAAGCTGGCGATGGAGCATAACAAGGTTTAAGACATGTAAATGATATCAATGTTGAAGGTTGATAAAGTGAAAAGTGAAACTATACATGGACGACTACATGCAAGGGGAGGCTGCCAGCAGCGTCAGCGGAAGTGCCATCTGTTCTGCCATGTCTGAGACATCGATTTGATGCCCTTCTCCTTCGCCACCTCGATCACCAGACTGTCAAGCACGTGCATCGCCTTCAGCATAAAGCTCGCCTCTGCGAACGGCTCCAAACTTTGTCTCCTCCTCTTCCCCTCTATCTCCAGCATCTTGGTCCATTCTTCATCCTGCGGGAGAGACGTCTCCTGCTCAGCCTCCCATGCTGAAATCACCTCGACCAGCCGCTCCCGGCTCGGAGTACCTCCCTCCTCCATCCCTTTCAGTTTTCTCTGCGCGCTGATCGGGATCCGCCGGAACAGGCTGTGCAGCTCCACCCGTGACGCATCTTGCCACCTGCGCGGCAGGGCATGCGGGGAGGAGATGGGAGCATAGAGTCCAATCCTGCGCTCTGCTTCCTCCGCCTCCTCTCCCGCAGCGCTAGAGATCAGGCTCACGACTCCACTGCCCACCTCGTGGTTCACCAGCTCCCCCTGCTCGTTGACCAGCTCTGTGAAGACGATGATCTCAGCTCGCAGGAACTCCTCTCTTTCCTTGATGGCTTCCAAGATGAGCTCTCGGCTCCTGCTGGACAAGGACGAGGAGGTTGAGAGCTTCTGGGTGTGGTTGACGACATAGGCATGATCGGAACTGGAGAAGGGGATGGAAGCGCTGCCTACCTGCAACAGATCTGCGAGCGTGACGATCCCAGAGCGGTACTGCTGCATGAAGTCGACGGCAACGATGATCTCCCTCCCCTCCATGCTCGTCCCGTTGGTCGGAGGGCAGGAGATACTCTTAACCGTCAGCACGATGGCTTCCTTGTCCTTGGTCTGCGACTTGCGGCCGAAGAGAGCAGAAGAGAACTCTTCGATGTCGATGTTGCCGTCCCCGTCGACGTCCATGTAGCTGTGCAACTTCTCTCGATCGCCGTAACGCAGCGAGAAAGGAGGAGCCTGGAGGGCAGCGTGGAATTCGGCCTTGGACAGCCACCCGTTGTCGTGCTTGTCGTATGACTTGAAGATGGAGAAGATGTCCGCTCCTACTCCCTCCCCTCCTCGGGCCTTGGCTTTCGAGTCCCTGCCCTCCATGATCTTGAGGAGTCCCCGAGCAAGCAGCAGGAACTCTGAGCTCTTGACGTTAGAGTGCTGCTCTCGTTTCCTCACGTTCTCGTTCGCCATGGCGAGGTTGGTCGCGTCCTTCAGCTCCTTGTTCGCATTTTTCTTGCTGGAGTCCAGGCTGAGCTCTAGAGCCAGGTGGAGGTCGTTGGTCCGCAGCAGCACGTTGCACTCTGCTGCGATCAACGCAGAGATCACAGACTGGCTGTCATACCTCGCAGCAACGTGGATAGGGGCCCATCCGAGGTTGGAAGGGGCGTCGATGTCAGCCTGCATCTTGATCAGCAGTCTTGCCGTCTTTGCATCGTCAACGGCTGCTGCCGCATGCAAGGGTGTCCATCCAGCCTTGTCCCGCACGTTCAGCCTCGCCTTCCTCTCTACCAGCATCTTGCATGCCTCGTGCCCAGCGGAGTGCAGAGGAGACTTGCCGTTGCTGTCTTGAATGTTCACCTTGGCTCCATGCTTGAGTAGAAATTCGAGCATGTCAGTGCGAGCATAGAAAGCAGCGTAATGGAGGGCGGCTGCCCCATTCTTGTCTTGTCTGTTGACAATACCCGAGTTCCCGAAATCCTTCGTCTCTCCCATGTGTATGAGCTGCTTCGCAAACTCCGTACTGCCATCTCTGGCGGCGACATGGAGCTGTGTCAGGTATCTCTCCTCCTCCCGCCGCTTCTGGTGTGTTTCTGAGGAGTTGGGCTCGAACATCTGACTATCCTCCTCGCTGACAACCGCCGCGTGCAGAGCCCCATCGCCCACCCCGAAGGACCATGACCGCTGCACGTCGTCGATTGCAGCTCTCCAGTCGTCTTCACTCTTGACGTAGCAGACCTGCGTGCGGCACAACCATCAGAGCGTCTCCCGTCTCCCTCCAATGAGAGACAACCTGCCCTGAGTTCTTCGAGAAGCAGAGGGCAACGTGATCTCCAAAGATTTTGTTCAGCTTCGCCTTGCACTCCACCCACTGCGAGTTGATCTGCAAGAATGTTACACCCTCTGGACGAGGATGATCGACCTCCGTCACCTGCATCCTGAGCCGGATCGGATCCTCGTCACCCTCGTAGCACATGAGCAGGAAGGCGGTGAGGGGCTCGCGCTTGACTGCGGCATCGGATTCCAGCATGCTCCTCAAATTCTGCTCAGCTTGTCGCTGTTTGGACGCAAGATCTTCGTGAGTCCCAGAGGACCTCAGCAGGATCAAGAAACATTTCCCGTCGAAGAAGTGGTCGTCTAAGACAAGCTTCTTGAAGTCTTCCCAGTCTTTCTGGTTGCTGATCTCCTTCACCTTGTTCTGTGGAGGTGCTCCGAACGAGAGGAACGATCGGAACCCAGCCCTGCTGCGGCTGTTCAGGACCCAAGGGATCTGACGGACCTTGTTGCAGATCGCGCTCCACTTCTCATCAGTGTTGACAGCGAACGAGCCGATCAACGGCAGGTTGTCAATGTCCATGTCACTCACTTTCTCCTCCTCGTACCCTTGGAGGTGCAGCCCCGAGAGGCAGTTCACCTCCCAGCTCAGCTGCCCGTCCTGTCTGCCGTCGTTCGACTCCTCCTCCGCCGAGTTCAAGTCGAGTTGACAGAAGGACGAGGAAGGGACTAGAAGGAGGTGAGCCTCGAACCGGCTGTCTTCATCGAAGAGCGAGTCCACGACCTGGTCAAAAGCGCTCTCGGTCGTGATGAAGGCGCCGCCTGTTGTGTCTCCGCGCTCAAGGGGTCTGACGTTGAAGTCTTTCCCGATGGAGAACCTGATCTCGCTCTTCAGCTTGCTCCAGCTCAGCTCGTTAGCGTCGATCTCCAACTTCCGCACGTCACTCTCCCCTTCCCTGTGCAGGATAAGCTTGCAGACGGGGACCAGGTCGATGTCGAGGGTGTACATGACAGGGAAAGAGTCCTCCATGTACTCCAAGCATGCGTTGAATGACTTGTTGTCCTCCACCACAACGGTCGCCTCCCTTGCTCCCTCGTACCTCCTGTACTCAAACCTCCTGCACACCAGCCCTGCCATGGCGCTCAGCCGCTGCATCAGCACTTCAAACATCCCCTTCCTGAGATCCCCTCCTGCATCTCCATCCTGACCCGCGAACAACTCTTCTGCTGTCACCTCCATGACGCCGATCTCCATGTTCCTCCTCCTGAACGTCTGCGGTCGCTGCATGAGATGGGCGCTGAACCGGTAAGTCTCAGGTGTGGAGGCGAGAGGGGCTGCCGCATCCTCGTCATCAGAGAGAAGGTCTCCTGTCAACATGGCGAGGACAGGAGGGCTGTCTCCCGAATAGAAGAGGGTGAAGGAGCTGGCGGTGATGTCAGGGCAAGAGAGAAGGCTCCTGGTATGGGAAGATCGATATGAGAGGAGGGGGAGGAGGGGGAGGGAGAAAGGGAGTAGGAGCGAGAGAGGGAGTCAGAGAGGGAGGGAGTAAGCAGGAGCAGGAGACGATACGAAAGAGAGACGGAGAGACGGAGGGAGGAGAATGAGAGAGGATCGGAGGGATGCAGTTAGGGAGGAGAGGGAGGAGAGGAAGGAGAGGGAGGAGAGGGAGTAGAGGGAGGGGAGGGAGGAGAGGGAGAAGAGGGAGAAGAGGGAGGAGAGGGAGGGGAGGGAGGTGAGGAGGGGGAGGGAAGGGAGGGTAGGGAGGGGGAGGGAGAGAGGGAAGGGAAGAAGGGGAGGGTAGGGACGGTAGGGAAGGGGA